GCATAAACTTTTGGGATTGACTGTATAGCCAATACATCCTTAAGCATGGATCAGGTGCATCTGTTTATGAATACTCTCCTTTCGTTGAACACACCATTGTCCCAAATGCAAGAAGTGATTCCTAAGTCTCGGAGCACTTATCGTATTCCTTACGTAGTACAGAGGAAGTCTGATAATCCGGAGTTGGTACATTCACAATTCTGGGTATTGCTATCGCACAATGATAAAACGAAATTCGAGAATCAACACACTTGACGTACAAACGTCTGCAAAATATGTGAGAGAAAAAAGTTTAGAGACGAAAGAACGAAGAAAACAACTTTTTGTTCTTGAACATAGTATAATATCATCATCTCGGAATTTATACGAAACGCGTTTTACGATCTCTTTTTTCTAATCCCTTCCAGTTGCATTCCGACTGTAACGTGAAACTAGCGAATAATTAAGTCGCAATTAAAATGTTAGCGTCAACCTTTCAACGTGTTCGTGCAGCGAATTAATCGGCGTACATTACATACGTGCTACATAGCCGTGTACATAGCACGTACAACGAAATGTACTCGGTGAAACTCGTCAAATTTAAAGTCCTCGGATTTATCGTTCCTTCAAGCACATACACATTACCGCTGAAAATTATGTGAACACGTGCTACGATAACGGGAATCTACTTACTATTAAGCAATGTCCATTGCCAAATTCGATCATTTACATGTAAGGGAGTGTCCGCATACTTTTGAGCGATAGCCTAATGAAGCAATTTTCCCGACTCTTTATCGACGCTAATTTCTTACTCAATTCAACCCCGAACTTGTCGCTTCCGTGTAACTTATCGTTCACTGTCTCGTCGAGATAAAAAGATAACAGTTGCCTCCTTCAATCTTTAGAATATCTTACGTCACTCTGATCACGTGTTTCGCCTGACCTCACGGTATTGCATCGATGTCATCTTAGCCAGCAAGCGTGCGACGATCAAGCGGGAACGTGACTGAATCTGATACCGAGCAACCAGACCACGTTGCCTATTCGCATGATGATCACGGGTTTCCATAATTACGTATAATCCGAACGTTTACCGCGCTATCAACGACAGATCGGAAGGTTCTCGGACATGCATATGTGCGTTGCAATCCGTCTGGTTTCGTACACGGAAACGATAAAAAGATTAAGCAGAGTAAAAGCGTGACACTTGTCGGATGTTATCGAGTCATCGGGATCGCGTCGGTGCCGTTCCGTATGGGAAGAAACGTGTGACAGACCAAGCCACTTCTCGATCTCGATCACGAATCGACGTTCAAATTACACGCTCGATAAGCTGGCCGCGACTCGATCGACACAAAAAGTTCTAATTTCAACCGATGACTAATCCCCGGGCGACCACGGACAGGTGGTCAATTCGTCATTGGTGCAATGACTGTGACGAATCCAGCCTGATAGTCGATCAACTTTCCTCCGATGCGACGCGTTTCCTTGTTACGAACGCTTCCGTGTTTCATCCAGCCTTCTAGCTTCCGCCGCGTGCTCCCGTGCATACACCGCCAGAAATATACCGACAGCCGAATTTAGAACGGTACATATGCACGTACGTATACGTGTATATATGTATCGTTTCGCGGCTCGCATCGAGGAGGCTAGATAAAGTCTATTGCGCAGAGATTATTGTCCACGAGGTCGACAT